AATTTAGCTAATCACTAGAAGGACTTTAATGTTGAAGCTAAATGGCTGAACTTTTTCGCGACATCAGTGATCAGTGATGTCGCTAAAAAGTTCAGTAAAGGAGCATGTGATGGCTTATGAGGAAGCGTTAAAAGACAAGCTTATCGTGCTAGTCTACGTCGCGACAATGATAAGCACATTACTACTGCAGAGTCAATATTTAAATTGGCCAAAAATTCATTTAAAAAAATTGCTTTTGGTTTTTGCTCTCAAAAGGAACATGATTCTCAAGAACAAAAATACAAACTACGTTTTCAACAATCTCTTACTATACAAATTATCCGCCAGTTTCACCATTATAAAGATATAGACGGTGTATCACTTCAGTGTAAACTTTTTTCGGGAGATAAAAAAATTAAAACTATTAAAATTTTTAAGAAAAAATATAAAAAAGTAACATGCTGAGGATAAATTTATGTTTCATTTAATTATTTGTTAATGTTTATAGTCTTTATTTATAAATACAAACAAATATTGTATCTATTTGTTATAAATTACATTACATTTTTTTTTAAATAACATTGTTTCTTATTTTAAAAGACAGTTTATTTTCTATAAATACAATTGGAGCGGTGGTCGTGTCTACGGCGCGCGCTCGGGGATAAATTAATTCATATTGTTTAAACTAATAGCGGGCAGTGAAATTTTCTTGCAGAATATTTAACTTAAGTGTACAATGCATGTAACTGAAAAAAAAAAACAAAATTATAATTTGAGAAAAAAGTCATTAAAATTTTCATTTGTTTTTTTTTAAAGTTAATTAAAAATAAAAATAAATAATTTTAAATTTTGAATTATTTTTCAATCCTAAAAATTTTATTAAAATATCTCTAACGGTTTTTCTGTTATCTATTTTTTAATTAAAAGACTCCAAAATTTTCATTGTAAAAAAAATTGGTGTTAAAATGAAAATTTCAAAAAACTGTTTTAGGGTTTTATTATTGATGGTGACTACTTTATATTAAAATATATTTATTTGAATTCCACGATCAAGAGGTAAATTGGGGGTCCACTTGTCGTGATCTTACTCTCTTCAAATAGAAACAGTAGGGGACTTTTTTTGAGGAAATTTACACTCTATTCATTTTTCGGCTCAGAAATATAAGTGTTATTAAACATTAAAGAAAATGAAATTCAGGGACAAAAACATAGGTATTTCAAATTGAATATACATATTATTATATTAAGTTTAATTTTAGTAGAGCAGGGATTCTTGCCACATTTTCAGCAAGGGGGGCAGGCAACGGTAAACTATATGCATGCTACAAAAAGTTTCGAGACTCCACCTCCCACCCATTTTCTAGCACAATTTATGTTTCATTTCATTATTTGTTAATGTTTATAGTCTTTATTTATAAATACAAACAAATATTATATCTATTTGTTATAAATTACATTAAAATTTTTTTTTTTTAAATAACATTGTTTCTTATTTTAAAAGACAGTTTATTTTCTATAAATACAATTGGAGCGGTGGTCGTGTCTACGGCGCGCGGCATGCCGCGGCAGCGCGCTGAACCGACAGCGATCGCGCTCGGGGATAAATTAATTCATATTGTTTAAACTAATAGCGGGCAGTGAAATTTTCTTGCAGAATATTTAACTTAAGTGTACAATGCATGTAACTGAAAAAAAACCAAAATTATAATTTGAGGAAAAAGTCATTAAAATTTTCATTTGTTTTTTTTTTAAGTTAATTAAAAATAAAAATAAATAATTTTAAATTTTGAATTATTTTTCAATCCTAAAAATTTTATTAAAATATCTCTAACGGTTTTTCTGTTATCTATTTTTTAATTAAAAGACTCCAAAATTTTCATTGTAAAAAAAATTGGTGTTAAAATGAAAATTTCAAAAAACTGTTTTAGGGTTTTATTATTGATGGTGACTACTTTATATTAAAATATATTTATTTGAATTCCACGATCAAGAGGTAAATTGGGGGTCCACTTGTCGTGATCTTACTCTCTTCAAATAGAAACAGTAGGGGACTTTTTTTGAGGAAATTTACACTCTATTCATTTTTCGGCTCAGAAATATAAGTGTTATTAAACATTAAAGAAAATGAAATTCAGGGACAAAAACATAGGTATTTCAAATTGAATATACATATTATTATATTATTATACTAACAGTTTTTGCAAGTAATACAAGTTAATTTTAGTAGAGCAGTGATTCTTGCCACATTTTCAGCAAGGGGGGCAGGCAACGGTAAACTATATGCATGCTACAAAAAGTTTCGAGACTCCACCTCCCACTCATTTTCTAGCACAATTTTTGAGTATAGCTGCCTCCTCTTTATTAAAAAAGTTTATTCTGAAGCCATAATTTATGTATATCAAGCATTATGAAAAGCTGTTATTGGTACCTGTAAAAGAATAGGTAAAAGAGCATTGCCTTTTAGAAACAGGTCTAGTATTTCTATAACTATAATATAATTATTATAATTATGATATAATTATTATAATTATAATATAATTAATTAATATTTTACAAGAACAAACACTTGAATAAAATTTCCAACAACTTTAACAAAATTTCTTTGTTCTTTTCAGAGGGTTTAAGCCGTAATTTTCGTTTTTCATACCTTCTAAACCTCTGTGCTTCTAATGCAAATTTACTTATACCTGAACACATTGCAAAGTGCGAACATAACCCAATTGTGTGTTTTATATTGCGGAATTCTATTCAAACCAAGTTTTTGTCAATAATAAGGTTCAGTCAGTTATAAATGTATTTATGTGTATATTTAATAATACATTTCAAACATGTTTTACTCTTATAATGTAATAAACACATATTTAGGTATATGTAAGATAACCTATAAATTTTAGAATTTTTACTGTCATTTAAAATTTGTTGCCAAATTGGTTCAAACTGTCAGTGTATATGCGTAAATCACTTGATATAAATAAATCAACGTTTCTGCATACGGCCCTAAGTGTAAACGAAGAGTCTGGTTAGAAAAATTAATTCTATTATTAGTTAGGTTAGTAAAATTAATATTTATTAACAAAAAAGTACTTTTTTGTTAATAAATATTACCTATCGGAATATTTAAATTAATCCTAAATATACCAAATGTTATACCAATGTGTTAATTCTTCCCACTCGTTTCTTATGTTTGTGGTAAATTTCAAAGGGTAAACCACTGATTTTTTTAAATTAAAAATCGCTTAGTAATTAACGGCTAAGGATAACAATAAATAAAGGTAGTCACGCGCAACGCGTTGTTAAAAAAATTTTCTTATTGATAAGCACTGATTAAGCAAGTTTTTCTTATTGATAACGACTGATAAGGAAAAAAATCACAACACAACGTCCACTAACATTGAACGTTGGTCTCTAAGATTTTAAAGTGGTTTACCACTCGGTAAATTTACTTCTAAAAGTGGAAAAAAGATAAGTTTGTTCTTTAGCGCGCTGATTGAAAAGTGTTATAATTATTTAATTTGTTGCATATTAATTACTTATTACTTAAATAGTAAATATACAAAGTGGTCCACGTAAGGTGACTTATAATTGTACTTATCTTAGGAACTACTGGAATCTAAAAAAAATTGTAGGGAACTAAAGTTCAAAACTCCATCAAATGTTAATATTATATTAATATTAGGTATATTTATTTATCTACTCCTATGTTCGTGAATAATGATAAACATAAATTCCCTGCCTAACAACTTGAATAATAAACTCATTATTCACGTTGTTAGGGTTCAGTGATTGGCCGATTTCTATATTTACTGTGATTTGAACCAATTGGGTTTTAAATTTGTAAAAAGTTAACCATTTGTCAGATTTTATTTAATTTTTTGAAAATCATTTAATAATCTAAGTATAGTATTAGTATACACTCGGGATTATGCCCATTATTCACTCGGATGATTAAGTCTCTCGTCTAGCGACTCGAGACGCAAACTTTATCCTCGTGAAAAATAGCCTGCATTATCTCTCATATAATAATATACTAGTATACAGGGTATTCCTCTTTTGCTGCGTCATTTCTTATTTCAAAAAAAAAAAATGTTCAAAAATAGTCCTTGGCAAAAATTACATATAATTTATATTCAAATATTTTTTAATTTAAAAATAATGCGTTAAGCATTAAAATGTATAAAAATCATATTTTTGTTTTGTTTAACTTATTTTTTTTTGTATTCATTTTGTTTTAATTAAAAATGTATGTTTTAACATGTGTTCATTATTTTTCGTTTTATTTCGATTTATTCAATTACTTTTTATTCTTAATTTAACTACCCTAAATTAAGAAAGTAGCAATACTTTGGTATTTATCAAATACCGGTAAATACCGGGTATATGGTAAATACCATATTGAATACTCCCTAAATTTACCCATTGGGTACATACCGGGTACACACCACCAATTTCAATATACCGGGTACTTGCCCATCACTGGATACAACCTTGTTAAAAAAACTTCAAACCAAAGTTCTATTTCGTGTTAAAAATTGTCTATTCCTATGAATCTGCAGTTTTATTTTGTGAAATAAAGTTTATTCTATTCTATTTTCAAGTTATTTTTTCTATTAACGATATTTTTATTTATGGCAACCCTAGGTGAAAAGGTGTTTTGCAATAAAAATATGTATTACCTACTTCAAATAAAAAAATTAGTAACAAATAACCAAATTGTAAGGTGTGCACCAACTTAAAAACTTATAACTAACCTACATACTTCCTTGCGGTTAAAGAGTTAGTGACCTACTTATATATTGAAAAGAACACCAGATCAAAACACAGGAAATTAAAAAAAAACTAGTGTGACGCGTGACTTTAAAGAGAGGGGCCGAGACTTTTTGACAATCAAGAAAATCGGAATAAGGGTTTTCAGATATTCAAAAAAATCAGATATTTTTTCCGTTTCCGGAAAATAGTTAATAGCAGTTTTTTGTTATTTTCATGTGTCATCCTGTAGAATTTATAGCCATGTTTTTTTTCAGAACACATTGGAAAAATGTTGCGTCTGCCAAAAACCGATTTTGGACCGTATTTTACGTGCCACCGGTAAACCGTATCACCCTGTGTGTTTCTGCTGCGTTGTCTGCGGAAAAAGTCTGGATGGAATACCCTTTACCGTAGATGCTACAAACAGGGTGCACTGTATCGAAGATTTTCACAAGTAAGTTTGTTTTTCAATTGATTTGGTTTTATTACAAATTTTTTTTTAAACTTTACAAAACGTTCTTAAACTATCTGTAATATACTCGCTTTAAAACTCACAAAATCTACTAAAATCGTCATACTGTCCGTTCAGGCTAAGTTGAGCGGTCTGAGGAATGTCACCCCGTCCATCATCTCTATGTTTAGGCTCAATTAAATACATGTACTTCGGTAACCGCTCTGTACGAACAAACTGCAAGCCGCGGCACTGATAAATCATCTTCTTGTTACCGAAATTTCGCGACGATTCGATGTTTAATTTAATTAACGGCCACATGATCCCCCACCAAAGCGCTCAACTTAGCCTGAACGGACTGTAAAAATGTCCTTAAAACTATCTTACAACTAGATTTTTTTAAATGTCCTAAAATCTTATTACAACTAAAACTTTCTAAATATCCCAAAACTGACTTTATACTATCTTTCAACTGTCATAACTAGGGTTGCAACTTTTCATGAAAAGTTGAAATTTTTGAAAAGTTGGGTTTTATTTTTCGGAAAAGTTCGGAAAAGTTGGAAAAGATGGAAAAGTTGAGTTTTTTGTAATATAAACGTATAAAACATAAATAATGCTTGTCAATGTATTAAAATATTTTATTTCTTATGTATTTATACATACGTAACAAAATAACAAAAAAAAAAATCAAACAAAATAAAATGAACAGACCACATAATAACAACAAAAATAAACTAGGTTTGAGTTAAAAAAATCATATTTTTTAAGTAAAAAAGAATAGAAATTTATACACACCATAAAAAACACATACGAAATAAAAAATAATTACAAAAAAATATGAAGCAAAAATTATTAAATTTATTGTTGTTAAAAATTATGGAAATTTAAAAGTAAAAATTTAAAAAGAAAAAGAAAAGAAAACTTTCTTCTTTTCCACTTTTATATTTTCACTTGCAAATTTCCATAATTAAAAAAAAATAATATTTTTTTCATACTGTGTATAAATTTAAAATACGTTATAATAAAACAATCTTTATATAATAGAAAATGCTGTTAGCAGACACAATTTTTGATAAAGTTTGACAGAATGTTATTCAAAAAAACAATGCTTTTAGCACGTTTTACTAAAAACACTTAAAATCTAGCGATTTATATCGAATTTTGACCAAATTATCTACCAAAAAAAATTTATGGTAGTGGAAACACTGGTTAGAAGTCAACTCATTGTTCATTGGCTCCCACCTAATAACTTTTCCAACTTTTCATAGGGGGTGCCGAACTTTTCCAACTTTTCCAACTTTTCGACCGAACTTTCCTTGTTTGCAACACTAGTCATAACTAATTGGAAACGTCTAAAATGTCTTAAAAGTACCCTAAGAACCATTTTACAACTAAAACTTTTTAATACTGCCTAATACTAATACTGACTTGGATCTGTCTAAAAATAGTCTTGAAACTAGAAGTTTCTGAAATTTAAAAATATTTTAATACTATTATAGGAACTGTCTAAATATGTCCTAATAGCGTCTTAAAACTGACCTAAAACCATCTTACAATTCAAATTGTCTAAAAAAAATTCCTAGAAATGTATTAATATTAAAAGTAACTGTCATAAAACCATATTACAATTTAAAATTTAAAACCGCACAAAATGACCTAAAAAGAAACTTAATTTAAATGTTTTAACCAGTTTTGAAACTTAAACCGTCTTAGAACTGTACAATTTCATTATTATCATTTATTGTAGAATTTTTGCTCCAAGATGTTGGGTTTGTAAGCAACCTATCATGCCCGAACCTGGCGAAGACGAAACCGTTAGGGTGGTAGCATTGGACCACAGTTTTCACATAACGTGCTATAAATGCGAGGTAAGTACAAAAATATCGTATGTAACTTTTTAGGACAAAAAACTTTACTGTGAACTTTTTGCAGAAACGTTTTTTGTCCTGGAAAGTTACATACAAAGGTGACATTGGAACATAAAGTTTAAGTGTTTTGTTTTGTATTTTTGCAAAGCATTTAAACGTGATATAGTTTAAACGAAAAATAACTAAGTTATAACCACAGACCGTGGTGGTCTGTGGTTATAACCAAACACTTTTCCGTGGATAGCTATGATCGATTGTGTTTTTGCGTTTATTTCGCTTATTTTTTGAGGAATTATAACATATTATCTATCATTTAAAGGGGTTTGTAAGGCTATATCAATAGGTACATTCTAAAAATAAGTTTTGATTTCAAAACGGTACCGGGTTTCATTTTGATAGAGAACACAATTTCGTTTCAAATTTGCACCAATAACAACTAAGATAAACGCAAAAAAAACAAATTCTCATAGCCTACCACACAAAATCGTATTTTCCGGATTTCTCCATTATTTACAAAGCCAACTATATAACAAGTGATGCATTATAAAATAAACTTACTTTAGGATTGCGGTCTGGTTCTATCGTCGGAAGCCGAAGGCAGAGGTTGCTATCCACTAGATGGACACGTTTTGTGTAAAAGTTGTAACGCCAAAAGGGTCCAAGCGTTGACAAGCGACATTTCTACCCCTAGGAACAACCCCATGATCACTGAACTATAATTTGATTGACACCTGTCAAAATTCCGACAGATTGTCAACTTTTTATTAACCTGTCATTCCTTTATGATGCAATTGTTTTTTTTTTAATATTATAAATATTTTTTTATTGATTATATTGTATACTTAAGTATTATAGATATAAAATATGCCATTTTTTAAATGTGATTTGTTGAAATTTTTAGATGTTTACACATTCCATTTTTTGTCGGTTTTTTATATTGACTGCTTTTGCTCTTCCTATATCTACTTTATATTATACAGGGTTTTTTATGAATGTACAATGATATTTTACGACCCTGTATAGTATTTTATGCTACTTTATTATAAATGTGCTTTTTTCCTAATTTTTACAAAAAAATTATATACCTACTTTAGTTTTTAAGTAGTAATCTGGTCATACATATTTATGTGATTTTTTTCAAGTATTATCGCCAATAATATTTTATACCGTGGGTTTATTTAATAAATTTGGTTTAGTAGAAGAAGTTTTTATTTTCTAAAGAAAAGGAAAAACAATATTTTTTTAGAACTAAACGTTGAACGGGTGGATTTTGTTAAAATCGCCCGACTATAGTTTACTATAATTTACTATTTTAAACATATATTAACAATTTTTAACACGGTTATACCGTTAGCATAACGACATATTTGAGTGAAAAAATATTGGGTATAATCACTTATTTAGAGAAATATGTGGAAATAATAAGCTGTATCATAATATACAAAAGGTTGTTGAAGTGGTAGAACTTCTCAAATTATTTAAAAAATGTAATATAAACATATGTACAAAAACGACTTCTATATGTGAGTTCTAACTCACTTATAGAAGTTGTTTTTTTGTACTATGTTTATATTACATTTTTTAAAGAGCTCTCGATCTTTAAAAGTCACTAAAAATGTTTTATTCTAAATATTTTTAAAACCTGCGAACAGAGCTGTGCGGTACTCGAGTACAAGTACTCATACACTGTTCTCCAAGTACTTTCGGTGTACTCGGTACTTAGTCCCGAGTACTTTAATTTGAATTGTAAAAATACAAATACAAATTTATAATATTATTTATTTTAAAAATTAGGTACAGGGTGATCCCCTATAATGTCGCCCCCCTTTACATTTTTTATTTAAAGGGTCCCAAAAAATATAAAAGTGTGGTTATGTAGGTACTAAAAAATACTTTTTTTCTACGTATAAAGAAAATTGGAAAATTGATCAGTATACAGGAAAAAACAAAGTTTATTTTTTTTCATGTATTTTTATATGTATTTATTTTTCGATTTCTTGTAGAATTCTAAGCATATTTCATATATCATACCATATATATATATATATATAAATTATTTTTAAAATAAAAAGTTGAAATAGTCTTTCTCTGTCACGTACGCCATTTTTACTTTAACAAGACATATTGACATAATGTCACTATAGTAATTTATTTTCAATAATAATTTTGGTATACTGAGGCTTCTTGATTTCTAACAGTTTAAAAAAACATTTAATGATAACATTTTGATTGCGAATATTTCAGAAACGGTTGAATTTAGGTATATAGTTAGTTAGTTAGTTATATGAATTATGCTCAGAATTATACAAGGAATCGAAAAATAAATTCATATACAGGGTGATCCATAAAAAAAATATTTTTTGTTTTTCCCTGTATATTGATCAATTTTCCATTTTTTTATTCGGAGAAAAAAATTATTTTTTAGTACCTACATAACCACACAGTTAAATTTTTTGGGATCACCCTGTAAATAAAATAATAAATAAAAATAACAATTTTTAAATAGTTTATAATTTTACCTATATAATTGTTATAAAATCTATAGGCTATAATATATTATATTATACTATATATTATAAAATTTAAAACAGACTTCCAAACAAAATTTTTTAATGCAAATTTTGGCAAAAAGTTATCTCTATAATAAACAGAAATTACTCGTAAATTCCACGAGTATTTTTAACGAGTACATTGAATTTGGTTTGTAAGTACGAGTAATAAGTATTTTAAATGAAAAATACTTATGAGTAAAAAAGTACTCGTACTTTTTTACTCGTAACTGAAATACGAGTAAAAGTACTCAGTACTTGGCCAGCTCTGGTGACAATATTCCACAAAAAGATAATTCAAAAATAAAGCTAAGCCAAAGCAAAAGAGATACTAGCCGGCCTTGATAATTAACATAAAGCGAAATATCAATATTTGATAAAGGCAAAAGGCCGGCTAGTATTTAGTTTTTCATAACTAAAGTGTACTCGGTACTTTGTACTCATATCAGCTCTGCTTGTACTCGGAACAGCTCTGCCTGCGGATATAAAAGAGTAAAATTTGGTATGAATACCTAACATTTTATGACAAACTTATGGGTCAATTCTGCGCACATCTGTAAGCAAGTCTATAACTTTCCATAAGCTTATAGACAATTTGCAATTCTGCGCACAGAAAATAATTCTGCGCTTCCTGTAGCTTACAGAAAATCTTATAGAATCGTAAATATTTACGATCGGGTGTTTGCCAATCGTTGCTACTTAGTTTTTATTAGGTTATGTCAAGCCAAAGATTAAAAAAATTAATATTTTTAATAATGTTAATGTCGATTTGATAATGGTTATATTATTTAATTGGGACAAGCAGCCTGGGCCCTCTAAATTAGAATGTTGACTAAATAAAACAATACAAAAACTTTACATTTTTATTTTACATATGAAAATAAAATATATTCTTTAAAAAAACAAAATAAATAAATAGGTATTCTAATCAGTCAAAAATTAATAGGTCAAATATCAAAATTTAGATTTAAAAAGTTGAATTTTTTAATTTCAAATCTTAATTGTTCTTCTTTCAGCTTTAAATAATTTTCTGGATAGTTTTCTAAGAGCATTTTTTTATTTTCTGCGCCTTGTTCAAATTTATTAAGTTTTTTGCCAAACCTGATAAAGGTTTTTTTGTTCTCTTTCTCTTGCTTTTGCGTTACCACTAAAAAAATTATTTATTATACCTATACGCTAATGAAGTACCGGGTTTTCGCAACCCGCGCGTCATCTGGTGGACTTCGGTAGCATTGCGTGAATTTAAGAATTGTCAACAATACATTTAGAGCACAGATTATACATCATTTTTAAATAATTATATAGTTTTTTCACAAAAGTCTTACTCGACAAATTGTGTTCAATTGTACAGCTAAATCGCGCACGTTATTTGTGTTTTACGTTGCAAGGAAAAAATTAAAAAGCTTTTTTAGTGCCGTAAACACGGGTGACTTTGCACCCCGCGGGTGACTTTAGCCCTTTTATGAAAAATCTTTTCGCGCTCGATAAAATTAACATTTATAATTTGTTGGTCTAAACCTGTCAATTGAGCGATTCTTTTGAGTTTATATTACAGGAAAATCAGTGTTATAAAAAAATAAATGGGGTTTATTACACTTTAAAATTGTATATATTGCATCAGTGCAAAACTCTTAAAAATACACGCGTTTTAATTTCTATATTACGCGCAATTCTTTGGAATGATGATCCTTGGTTAACTACAGGTCGATTTCTTATTGTTTTTATCGGCAATCCCTTGCAATTGCAATATGTCGATGCTAACATATATGTCTAATAAAAATAAAATATTGAGTTAATTTTATACGGAAAATACACTGTGAGACAAAGTAACCCGCAACCAGGGGGTAACTTTGCACACCCAGTTTTTAATTTTGAAACTCAGCCCTATATATGTAATATTATAACATAGTTATTATGAAAGAGCAACTCAAGACTCAAACTTTGATATACAATATTTAATGTTTATGATTGTTAAAACTACAAAAATGTTAAGATTAAGTTTTAAAGTGATCTAAAGCCACCCGTGTTTACGGTACTCGATTTTGATTGATTATTCCTAATATCATTGATTAAGAAACTCCACGCTTAAATGCTTATATAGTTACGTTAGTATGTGCATTTTATCTAAGGGATTATTGTATTTTTAATTGTAAATAAAATTCAAGAACTAAATCATGAAAATGAATTTTTTGAGGAAAGAGCCCTCCACCTTCGGTGTCGGGCTCTTTCCAAAATATGAAAATGAATTCATGCATTTTTAAGGCAATATGCTTTCAAGCAAAATTATCGATAATTTTTAAGCACTTGTGTAATTACCCCCGATAATTACCCTCTTATGAGTCAAGCCACGTCAAGTGGGACCAGAAAATTTCACGAAATCACCGATTTTAAAAATAATCATATTATTGTGTAGTAGGCATGACGCATATGAGTCATTCCAAATAAAAACACCAAATGGGGTGCGCTGCGTGATTTTTTATTTTGATGAAAAAATTTGAGGCTGATCTTTTAGGTGTCAAATATGAAAATCCGTTGCCGTTTTAATTTTTTGTTGCTTTACTTTTATTTGGCACCCCTTAGAAGTCTGAAATAGTGTCAATTTCTTACTCTCTTATAGTGGCCCAGAACTTTTTTTCTGTGACAAATATTGAAATAATTTTAATTTTGTTATACTGTCCAGTAAGTGTGTTTTCGATATACATTATAATGAAGTATTTAATTGGCTAATTGGTGTTTAAAGAAGAAGAATGTAAAAAATATATTTAAGATCCTTAAGATCCGTTTATATCGTTAATTAGTCCGGTCAATCTAGACATTCGAAGTTACATAAATTTACAACAAGCTGAAAATCAGTAAAATTGTTCAGAATATAATTATTAATAAAATTTTAAAGTTCCCCATCATTCCCCTGTATGGAAAAATTTTTATTCAAGGTCAAAGGTCAAAAAAATTATTTTTCGCGATTTTCAGCAAAACGGTAAGTTTTATCATAAAAATACATCAGACAAAAATTGTAGATCATAAAATAATCTACAAAAAATGTATTAATACTTTTTTTCTACGAGCCACCGTTTCTGAGATATAACGATTCGAAAAGTTGTAAAAGTTATAATCGCCATAATATGCACACGTTTCCACGCCACCTATGAGGTAGTTTACTAAGCGCGTTT